GAGCCCTTGGTTACGAAGGACGAGTTCAAACTTTCTAAGATGACAACAGATGCCTACATTAATTAATGTTTTAGTTAGGTTCTAAGGATTCAAAATAATATATACCTTTCATATCCAATCGCATGCAGAACAAAACTTGCTTTGGATGCAAAAACCTGGTTTTTATTAAAACCTTGGATTCTCTTTTGCGCTCAACCGTTGTATTTTTCAAGAATAACTAATATAAAAAATTCTTTTTTTTCAATTCTATTCACAGATGTTTTAGGAAATGCTGCACTCATATTTTATAAACAGAGAATTGCAAACCGATACTACTTGCTTATGGCTCTCAGCCATGATTTAATGCGCAGTAAAAACACTAGCACGCCAAACCTTTCCGACCCATTTCAAAGGTCTGTTCCATTTGTTTCATTTCAAAGGTCTAGTGCCGTTCAATATCCTCAGTGAAGCCTCTCTATTATTTCTCTATAAGTGATACATGGATTTGACGCTATCAGCGTATTTTCAACATAATACAGCACTTTCCACTTCCCTCGATTTTCAACTGGATTTAGCGATTAAAATTTCCACGTCTGAACTTCTTTAATTCCCTTAGCACTGACCTTCATTGATAGCACAGGGGGGCATAAAAATTCTTCTTCCCCGATAAATGAACCCCTGCTGGCTTATTCGTTCGGCCAATCGAAATAAAATTTTAGATATTGTTATATACATTATATTATGCGCTCATATTTGTGATGATTTAAAACAACAGAGCTCTTCCGGTTACAGATACAGTGAAAAGATTTCGAAATTTTCGAATGACAACACCCATTTTTTCCTTCTCAAACTGATCGGCGCATACACATATCAAGGTGTACACATCAAATTCGGGAGATTTGTCAGAAGTGAAAGATGCCACAGAACGTGAAGTTATAGAGACCCCTCCTGCAATGTTACTTGTACTCCTGCGATGTTACTTTGCGTGCGGGAGATTGTTGTCAACAATGCGTTATCATCTGCAAAGGTGGGCACGCTGAAAACTTATAATTCTAATAATTGTTTTCCTTCTCCTCCCTTGCGTCGTTATTAATCCTTTACAATGCTCTTCTCTGCATACGTTTCAAGCCAGCAATTTTCATCATACGTGTATCTTTTCAATGCCATTTAGGTTTTCTTAACTCGCTGATCAATTTTCGCAGGAAAAAAAAACGTATGTTGTCTTTAGAAAATTTCGAATTTTTTTCACTGTAACCCTAACAATATTATAATAACCTGTAATTCTTTCGACTGCAGAATCACTTCAATATTGTTCCATGTACTTGAATTTTTGCAAACAAAATTCCTGCGTTACTTTTCAGTCAACCTGATATTATTGTGCCACATAGGCATCAGCACTATTCAAAGGATTAACTATTTATTTTATTGCAATAAGGCACGGCTATGTTGGTTATGTTGGAGAGTATTATGTGGAGTTTACTAGTATTTACATCAGGCAGGAAAAAATCCACTCAACTTTGTAAGGACTTATTTATCTTATCAGCTATTTTATGTTAAATATCTTTATTGTAAGTCTCCCTTTCCATTTTCTTGCCAGAATGCTAATATGTAGTTCGCGCGTATTCAAATGAGGTAGAAAGAGATAGTATCTAAATGAGACTTTTAGATTATTTAATCAGAGTGTATTCCGCCTGCTGATCACTGATGATATCACTGAAACACTGTTAAAAATGCTTTAGGATTTCGCTTTTTGAAACTATGACGTAACGTTTCTGGTTAATGTGAAAGGTGTCTGCAAATTAGAACTCAAAATTAGAGGTAATTAAAGTTTTATACTCGCACTAGTTTTATAATAGGAAACAACATTTCAAAACAAAGGAAGTTGTTACTGCTTAGCCACCTTCAAGAGCTCTTCTACAGATTAATTTCTGCTTGCAGAAGAGAGACTTACGTCAGACTGACTGGAAGGGTGGCTTTTATATAAATCTAAAGGTAATTTGTGTTTGAATGAAATGTAAATCTTCTAGTATTCAAAATAAATGTTTCAGATTAGGCTGAAATATGTCAGTAGAAATACAAGTATATTCGCAATACTTGGTTGTAAAAATAATGTGAATATTTAGAAAAAAGTTTAAAATTCACTTTTTTTTATGAATCATATGTGCTAAAAATTAAGTAACCAATAACAGCAACAGCCTGATATACTACATTAAAAAACATAATGCTTGGTTATGCACTGGAATTTAACTTTCGACCAGCTACAGCAGAAATAATATTACTGTTTCTTCTATTTTTTTTTTCTTAATGTCTAATTCAGTTCTGGCCGCACATGAACGTTTTTTAAAACAAAGATATGTTTGATCACTTGAACCTTAGTGAATTTTGTACTGCAACATAAAATCCATATGACAAAGTTACGTAAAAAAATCAAGCTAGATGAATGCCAGTAGAGGCAAGTTAAATAATGTGTTTTAACTGAAATAAAATTCAAAATATTAAGCAATAAAAGAAGAGTAATATTTTGAGTATAAACTTTATTCCTCAAAAAATTCTGAAAAACTTCAGTTATGAATGCAAGAATTTATGACGTCTGAAGTTTTATACCCTAAAGCAATTACTGAAAAATGTTTAGATAAAATAATTATCATGAATGAATTCCCTTTCTTGTATTCCTAGCACTATGAGCAATTATGTAACGAATCCGAAACTAAACAATATCCTGTGACTATCATATCCGAAACTAAACAATATCCTGTGACTATCATATCCGAAACTAAACAATATCCTGTGACTATCATATCCGAAACTAAACAATATCCTATTAACTTCAGCAAATAGTCTTTCAGGTGGGACATAGAGTAGCAAATTAGATTTCAAAGTATTAATGTAGGAAAATATCAAACTAAATCTTTGGTACATGTAAAGTAGTTACATTTTTTAGAAATGTATGGATGGTACAAATAACGCAGTGCAAGTTCTGTTCTTCTATACGTAAAACAAAAATTCAGAATATCTCCAAAAGCTTAGAAAATATAATTTCATAAATCTAAATGAAAATAAAATTATAAAACTTGCAGAAATCCTCCATCATTTCAATTTCCGAGCTTAAAAATCTTTCCTTGGCATGCCAAGCAATGAAAGTAAGAAACCATGGAATATGTAGGTAAAAAATACGTATATGGGCAATAAGCAATTACAGAAATGCTATGCACAAGGGTTATCTTCTTCAGCGAAGGGATATGTCTTCGCAGAGTTTCATTCTACGAGCAGCAGGCTCATGTTTACGTTGTGCTTTGGAAAGACTGCAAAACCTTCTTTGCAACAGGGTGTAAAGTCATTAGGATTTTTTGGAAGCAGGAGACGTGAGAAATGAGCAATGCCCTAGGCCTGACTCGAACCTGGAGCTTTCGATAGCACCGGGTGTGCTGATCGTTACGTCACGAAGGCATGCAGAAAGGAGAGAGGAACTACTTTATATGCTCCCCCTTTTAAAGGGCGACTGGGGTTTCACCAAACCCATTTGGCAAATCCTGGTGGTGAAGTATCATCATCCACCACCTTTTAGTTCGGGCGTCACTGTAGAGTCATCAGGATTGGAAACAGCAGACGTGAAAAATGAGCAATGCCCTCGCTGGTACTCAAACCTGGATCTCTCGATACGCGCCGATTATGCTAACAGTTACACCACGAAGGCATGCAGAAAGGAAGGATAAAATGCGTTATAAGGACGCATCGGATATGTCATGGATTGCTGAGAATTAGAGATGAAAACCAAATTGTGTCAATGATTCTTTCCGAATCATCACGTGTAGGAGAATTCCTCTTGGGGAACAAGGATAAATAGACATTGAGGCAATTAAATAAATGCCCTGTTTAAAAAAATGGAGCTTGCGCTCATATACGTGCATTATTTCGAAACACGTTCCTGTCATATAATTGCAAGGAGTGGTGCGATCAGGTTGAGTAAGGGGCAGCCTAATCCACCTAATCAAAGCGATCAGGTGGTAGAGACGTTAGGTTATTTTTTGGAAGCAGGAGAAGATGAAAATAGCATGATAAAAGGAGCCGCGCGCCTGCCGGAAATCGACCCGGACCTAGGCACGCTCCAAGAAGGGGACGCGTAGGCTTTAAGGGGGAGGACTTCGCTTTCTTTTCCTCTTTTTTTCAGGGCCCCTTTAGTTGTTGTTGACATTTTTTTAGTTGGCTCCACTGTAAAGACAAAGGGCGACTGGGTTTTAGGGACTCGCCAAATCCTGGGTGGAGAATCATCATCCACCACCCTTTTAGCTTGGCTCCACTGTAAAGACATTAGATTTATTTCGGAAGCAGGAAAGATGAAAAAAAAGCAACGCCTTCGCCGGGAATCAAACCACGGACCTCTGGAATACGCGCCTAGCGTGCAGACCACTACACCACGAAGGCACGCTGAGAGGCGTGAGAAATACCTTATAAGGTAAATGACTTGAACGTGCCATTCTCTGATGAACCTGATCTAAAGAGAGCTAGAAAACGAATCCTTTGAGAGATAGTTTTACTTTCTGGGAAAAAGTTGTCGCACGGGTACAGGCTACACAACGAGGAGCGGGACAGGTAGTTCAGCGCATACTCTCGCTTGCAGGCCAGCAGTTGCTTTAAGGTTTCCGAGGATTGTGAAAGTGCGTTGTTCTGCAGTACGACGCCTTTGAAGCAGTGGGTTTTGACTGAATGATGTGAAAAGCACCATTAAATGCCATCTGTTTAATACTCAGTTTTAAAAATCATCTACTCCTCCAAATGATAAATGATTTTCTAAAATACAATGTAGGATACGAGATTTAGAAAAGGCAGCCTGTTTACTAATTGTCTCATTGTGCATTAAATAAGGTATTAAGCTACATGAATTTCAAAGCAATGGAAAGAAAGAATGAATTACTTAATATGATTCTAATAATTATGTAAAAGAGGAAAGCTAATGGGTTGCTATATTTATAAAAGTCTTTTCAATGATCATGAATAGATTTAGCTAAAAGGAAATCACTTACCAATTGCTCTGTAGATGCTGCAGAACAAAATGCTGAAGAGGACAAACCAGGTGTTCCATTCGTGGTTGTCATTCACCGTCGACACTCCGAGTACAACGAAGATTATCGTTTCAGACGCTGTTGCAAGCATTTTTGTCACATATCTCACAGTCACGTGACTTTTATTCGAAATGTTTTCCTCTACGTAATTCTTCATTGTTATACCGCAGAAAACCAACCTAAGAGAATATGTATTTATTTCAATTTAAATCTAAGCAGCAATAATTCTGTTGCAAAAGGAAATACAAAAGAGTTACATGAAAAAAATTAAAATATTTTCTTTCCCTTGGTGCAACCAATATTTATCTATCTTCGAAGAAATCTGTGGTGTTCCTGAGGCTTAGGCTTGTCATCGATATAAACATGACCTTAAATATTTGGATGAAAACCACACAGGACAAATGGCTAAAGAAAGAGGATTCTAAAATTTGGAAGGGGAAGCAAATTTTCGAAAACTTTTAGTCCAGAGGAGGATTCAGTTTAGGGAATTTCTTATATAACTCAGAATTTTTCGAAAAATCGAGAACTGTATAGGTGCGGCTAAGGAAAATTATGTATGATAATAGTGTAATGAGGTGAAGGGTAAAATGCTCACTGAAAGAATGCTATGTACAACGCCTTTTGGCCTGCGGAATGGTATCACAAGCAACATGTTCTTAATATCAATTTGGTATTACAGATAACAACGCTTAAAATGAAAAATCTTCTAACCTGTCAAACGTTACGACGAAAGTGAAAAATGACATCAAAGAACCGGACAATAGAGAGATTCTTTAAGATTTTGATAGTTATTATTTCGTTCAATCAAAGCAATTTATTATTAGATGTAAATGCTTCTTTAGACTTCTTCGATCTTTTATACGACCGCATGCTAATTATTATCCACACTGGATGTATTTACATTGAACTGCCTGTTTCTTACCAAAAGATGAATTAATTTAGTTTTCAATAATTTTCCAATCAATTGATAATAAAACTAATCCAAGAATAAAAATACCCTAGAGCAAACTTAGAAAATGTAGCATTTATATGTTTTCGTTTTTCAAAATTTTCAGATTTAAAATGTAAAATCTCTCAGTTGCTGTTGTGAGGATTATTTTCGAGCTGCACCATGGAAAGAACACATTTGAGATATTTTGTGAAATTTATATGCTTTGTAAGCCATATATAGCATCCTTTGTTTCCGTTAGCAGTCACCTTTCTAGGCGCTTTTATAATAATAAGAATTAAAAAGGGTTTGAAACATAATTAAGTCTTGTTTTCAAATCAAAGAGGTCATTAGTTATTGCATTTATACTGTTAGTTAGATAACCTGGAAGCTAAAGATGTGCAGATTTATTTATCATCATTGTCTAAACTTTAATTTTTGTTTGAGTCAAATCGGCAGTATCCTTAGTTCTTTATGATTTTCTGCCCTATGTTCTGAAAATGGACGTTACAGTTTTTTTGCTATTCTTTTTTCTTAATATCTAAACTATAAACTCATGCAGATTTTTATCTAAGATTTTCTACAGTCCTGCAATTAACTTGTTAAGTAGCCATAAATCAGTTTTTCAATAAACGTAGCATCTATTAGCCATTATTATATTCTCATACATTCTGTTATTAATGTTCGATTAACTTTCTTATGTAGGCTTCCGTTCAATGTTACGCTTACAGAATTATGACGCTTAGGAATTTAAAGATCATGTCCTGAAAGATAACTGCTCAACAGTATTATTTCTGTAGCTTTTGCTACATATAATGCCCTATGTGTTAGACGGATATACCACTAATGGTGTGATACGGAATGACGAACGAATATGAAAAACTACGCAACATTTTTACGTTCTAAGTCAGTAGTGGAAATACACAGCTCTCTTTATCAGTGTCATAATTGTATACTGCCAAAGGTGCCAAAAACAACAGAAAAGATTACCCCCTTTACTGAAACAAATAAGCACATCTTAGCATTAAACGTGCTTTTCCTTATTCTGTATCTAAACTTAGATAGTCCACTCTGTTGTTGTTATTGCAATTTTAAGCATTCAGTGTTTTCCGTTGAAGCTAATTTAGTAGACCACGCAGAGTGAAATCTATCAACACGATTTTAAGGCATTCTAAGCGCTGTACTGGAAAGAAACTTCTTAATCAGAGAAATAATCTGAACCATTAAGCACTTGTAACTATAGTTTACAAAGTAACTATAGTTTACAAATTAAGTAACTATAGTTTACAAAATACTTTCACTTTATCTCTTGAAAAAAATACATTCAATTTACATCTAATTAAAAGCTTGAGGTAATCGTATAATTTTAAACGTAAAAGTAACATCATAAAGACACGATTTTTGATTGCTCTATGTTTCCGTGTATAAATCGAGAATTTTTAGCAGATTTTTTATTACTAAAAGTTGGAGGTCGGCTTGCATGCGAGTTCAACTGATTTGCAAACACTTCGATCATAAAAATGGTATTACAGGTTAAATAATTGAATCTATATTTGTTTTTATTATTTTATTTAATCCTAACACACCGTAATCATATCGCTTCATAAGTATCCAACTAAGCATTTTAGCAAAATCAAAAGTGTCTTTGCTAACGCAAGTGCGAGTAATATTACCTGTCACCATTAACTACTGCCATCCACCTCATAGCTAATATTATTTCGAATTCTGTCTATATCTCGGTAAAAGTGAAAACTTTTAGTTTAAATTTAAGAGAATAAGCAGTACGGGCCTCTTTCACTACCCGTCGTACCCATAAAAGTCCTTTGTAAGGCCTAAAATATTTTAAATTATGGAAAGATTCACGCTTTAGAATTTTTAAATTTAAAGAGATCAGTTTCATAAAAATTACGAAATCTAACTTTTTATAAATTCTTCTTACCCTATATGTATATTCAGGAAAATGTTATACTTATTACGAAAAATAAAGCAAAAAATGTTTGACTCTCATATTACAAAAATTAATTGACAGAGATATTTGATTTCAAAATTTGCGATTTTTGACATTAGGTTCAATTTGCATTGAGGGGTCGGTTAATAAATAAATTAGAATAATTCGAAGTTGATTTTTCCCTTTAAAAGTCATTGAGTGGCATTCGTTTGTGGTTTACTGTTTTTATTTATAATTTTGTTTGATTGGTATGCCGAATAAATTTTTACTCAAGTAATAAAGTTTGAAAGTCTAAGAATTAGTTATTAAAATGCTCATAAACTTCTATTGCTTTAGAATCATAATCTGGTAATTGTACAAAAATTCAAAAATTTTTCATTTTTAATTAATGCGTGTGTGTGTGATTATGGCAAAACCTCGAGAGTTATCTGCCTAAGGGAAAGGATGCCTTCGTGGAAGACTTTCTAAGGGTAACTGCTTCGTATACACGTTACACATGGGAAAAACCACGAAAACGCCCATGCAGCCAGCCCGTTCGCGGGATTCGAACCTCTGACCGAACTGGTTACAGCCGAAAACATCGCGGCGAAAACATCGCAGACGAAAACGTCGCGGAGAAAACAACGCAAGGCGAAAACGTCGTGCTACAAAACATCGTAGGAGAAAGCATTGCAAAGAGAAAACATCGCAGTTCTAAAACATCGCGGTACAAAACATTGTCGTCGAAAATAAAGCGGTTCAAAAACTTCGCAGTTTAAAAACATCGTCGTCGAAAATATCGTGGTAAAAAATAAAGTATCTACAAATCATCGCATAACGATAACATCGCAGACATACTTTTTTCAGGTTTTAATAATTGTAAATGGATATTCCCGTAATGATTTGTGAGCGCAGATGGAAAGAAGGATAATTTTACATTAATATTTTTATTAATAAAAAATTTTTGCTGAGAAAATAAGGAAACTTAAGCATAGAAAATTAATGCAAACTTATAGCACTTAATAGAATTTTAAACCGACATAGTTAACTAACAAAGGCCATTAATAAATGATTTTTTATAAAGTTTTTACTGGTAATTTTTCATGAAAAGTATAATCTATAAGTTACATTTAATTTTCTATGCTTAAGTTTCCTTTTACTTTTTCAGCAAAAATTTATTAATTAATAAAAAAGTGTGAAAGTAAAAATTATCCTTCTTTACCTCTTGCGCTCACAAATCATTATGGGAATATCCATTTACAATTATTAAAACCTGAAAAAAGTATGTCTGCGATGTTATCGTCATGCGATGATTTGTAGGTACTTTATTTTTTACCACGATATTTTCGACGACGATGTTTTTAAACTGCGAAGTTTTTGAAATCGCTTTATTTTCGACGACGATATTTTGTACCGCGATGTTTTAGAACTGCGATGCTGTTTCTTTGCGATGTTTTCACCCACGATGTTTTGTAGCACGACGTTTTCGCCTTGCGTTGTTTTCTCCGCGACGTTCTCGTCCGCGATGTTTTTGCCGCGATGTTATCGGCGGACACCGACCGAACTACCAGCGTTCAGCAACGTTACCGCTCGGCCGCTAATGCGAATAATATGACAATTTGGGTGAGTACCAGTACTGATGTCTGCTACTATCCGACTCGGCAGTGAACAAAGTCTTCAAGATCTCCATTTTGAAAAAAAAAAAAAAATATTATATTGATCAATATTTTTCAAAATAATCTGTATATAGTAATGCTCGTCACATAATCTCTTAACAGCAGAAATCTTTTTCTAAACTAACATTTTATTTTTAATTACGTACAAATGCAAATATTTTGCTTTTCATTTGTGCACGGCCTCTGAGTATGGTGTTCGACATTAATATCAAATATACATGGTAAATTTTTTTACGGGAGTCCACGCTTTGTCCTTTCTTTTTTATAACGCGCACTATATTTTTTTAACCATAAGCATGGAGACCAGAGAGACATATAAAAAGTTAGATTTCATAATTTTTACAAAAGAGATTTTTTTTTTTAAGTTTAAATGTGGATACGCTGTATAGTGGAAATGAAGAATTAGATTTTGCTTGCAAAAGCGGAAACGCAAGAGGGAGGGGAAGGAATCTTGCTATTGCTTGAAAATGGCTACTAAAACTGAGAACAAAGCTAAAATTCGCCAGGTAGAAAGGCCAATAAGCATGCTCAAAACTGCGATAAATTTAAAAACAGAAATTAGTGATGATAAAAGTTTGCGGGAGGTCTTAATGTCTTTTCATTCTATAAAATTCTCTCCTTTTAGCTGGATTTGTGAGATAATTTTAA